ACAACCCTTCTACCCAAGAACCCACCCGCTCACCCAACTGCTGGAACACAGGTGTGCACCAACATAACATTTTGTTTTTTGTCGATTGTGGGGCTTGAACTCTGGGCCTGGGCTCAAGGCTAGCACTCTACCACTTGAGCCACAGTGCCACTTCCAGCTTTTTCTGCGTATGTGGTGCTGAGGAATTGAACCCAGGACCTCATGCATGCAAGGTAAGCACTCTACCACTGAGCCACCTTCCCAGCCCAATTTTCTTTGATATTTATAAAGAAATACCTGAAAATCAAGAATTACCAGATGAAGCACTTTTAGAAATTCCATCAAAGCAACATTTAAGTTGGGTATAGTAGTGCACACCTGTAATCTCAGCACTCAAGAGACAGAGGGATTTTGAATTTGAGGCTAGACTGGGCTACGTACAGAGTTCCATATCAGACTAGGTAACTTAGCAAGAGATAATAATAATAATACCACTAAGTATCTATTACCATTAACCAATAAAGAACAGCATGAATAGACCAAGGAGAAGATCTTATAACCAATAAATTTAGACCTATTCTCTCTTTTTCCCCCACAGTTTTAACTAAACTTCTCAGAAGTTACCCTAATTTTCCCTTCTGTTCCTTTAAAACCTTTCCAATACAAGTGGTTAGGTTGTCTTCTCTTCCTTGTCTACCAGCTGAGTGTTGCTAGTGGCTTATGACTATAATCCTAGCTACCCAGGAGGCTGAGATTTGGAGGATCCTTGTTTGAGGCCAGCCTTGGCAAAGAAAAAAATAAGAAGCTTGCTAGACTCCATAACCAATAAAAAGCAGGGTTAAAGGCATGGCTCAAGTGGTAGGGCCCTGAGTTCAAATCCCAGTTCTATCAAGTAAATGCACACACACACACACACACACACACACACACACACATTCACTCCAGCTTCAGCCATCATATCCATATACTATCTATCAGATGATAAAAGAGAGAAAAGCACTTTCTGGAATTTGTATGTACCATTTCAAGTTTCCTAACAATCAGTAAAATGTTGATATGCAGCAGTGCTGGCAGCACAGGAAATGTTGAGTATCTACAGTTCCATTATGTACATTAAACACATACTCATAAAACTGACTTTCCCAAACCACCTTGACTTACTGTCATTTGAAATTATGCTGAAGGCAGGTGACGGTGCAATCCATTTAGCTTTCCTTAGCCTCTCTGCCTCCAGCACATACCGTCTTACCTATTTATCCCCAGGACTTAAATTTAACTCAATTATGTGTGAATATATTATCGCATCCACTGCTTCTGAGATTAATCACCTGGGTCTACTTTTAGCTGGATTTCTCCCCTCTGCTTTAGTTGTCAAACACAGAGCTTCATTATCCATCTGATTATGGAAATTAAAAGGACTGATGAGCAAATTATATGTCTTAATGATAATCAAGAAGAGGGCCTGGTTACTTGCCTAAACAAATCAGATCTTCCGTTCACCGCGCCTGAGCAGCAAGAGCTTCGGGCTCAGCTTCCCTTCTCCCACATCATCCTGATGGGGGCGCCTCCATCCGATCTCCCACTCAGGCCAGAGAAGCAAGTCTCTCCGGTCTCCAAGTTCTGTCCGTGCCTTCGACTCTCACCTTTTCCGTCCCTATCAGACCCTCAGTCCAGACCCACCTGCCTTCCCTGATGACAGGCCCCTCCTCTTCTGCCAGCAGAATGGCCACCAACGGCATTATGTCTGTACATTCTTCCTCATACTCAGGCCTGATGGCATTCTCCCAGTCACACCCCTCCTGGCCAGGCCAAGAATCCCAGATCATGTGATCCTTCTGCTTCCGGCTCTCCTTGAAGGGGCTGCTGTTACTTCCAACACAAAGGTGACATTCTCACCTCTCCAAGCTATGCCACCACCATGTGGAAGACCTTCCTCTCCCTTTTTCCTCTTCCAGCCTCCATCCACACGAACTTCTCTTGATCCTTCCTCCGCTCAACCAGCTCAGTCATCCCTACTCTAGGAAGTTTTCTTCGCCTAGCCTCCTCCTGCCTCTCCCAAGAGCCAGCACCTCCCTCTACCCTGCTCCCATATTCTCTGCAACTTGTCACACTATTTTAAAGCTCATTTAGATTGCAAGCCATCTGGGAGCAAGAAGTTTCACTTGGTTTATATTTGCATCCTAGCACAGTACTGAATAGGCTCTCCATAGAAATAAATAAATAAGCCTTCTAGTATGTCTATGCCTGTATAATTTTATATGGTTGAAAATTACTGGCTATATAACTTGATATGCTTTTATTTACCCTCAAAATTATGTAATAAACTGTTAGGCAGAGGCAAGTAGTTCAATGATGGAGAGCTTGCCTAGCATGCACGAGACTCTGGGTTTGATTCTCCAGATCCAATGCAAGAAAACAGAAATCTGTAACAAAGATTCCACCGTGAATTGCAGACTCAACCTCCCTGGGGTCTTAGAATGTGGTTATAAACATTATATAGCTCTCTCCTACTTGGGAAACCCTTGCTTCTTGCTAAACATTTGTATTGGTCATGTCTTTTGTATTGTACGTAACACATAGGTGAACATTAAGGTACACAAAGGTTTTTGCATTCCAGAATATTCCTTTAGAATAGATTCTTACAAACAGAAGAATTGTATTCTAATCTATTCTGTTCTAATCTGTTCTCTCATTCCTTCTTTAGAGCAGCTGGTTACAAGGAGAGTAACTACTCTGTGAGCATGAACCTTTAAGGGTCACATTATATTTGCCCAGTCACTTGGCAAAATAATTCAGGTAAGCAGAATACAAGAACACCTTGTTTACGAGCGATATTGGCCAACCAAAAAGCACATGCTTAGAAGGAAAAGGAATGGAAGAACTTGTAAAGCATCAAGGAAGGAATGGGGAGGGGGAGGGAGGCTGGGTGGTGGACCTCACCATGCTCCCCTCAAAAGCTAATGAATCACCTCTCACAATCTGACAACCGTTGACCTCGAACACAGTGTGTGAAAGTGTCAAGAAGCCACACAGTGTGGTGGCTAAAAATACAGCCTCTGGGGGCCAACTGCCAAATCCTAGCTGTGCGTCTCTGACTTCGGCTCTGTAGGAACTCAGGCAAGCGGCTTTTTCCCTTCTGTGCCTCAGACTTTTTGTCTGCCCAATAGGAAAGTCAGATTCGGTTATTAACTTAAGTAACTGGAGAGACATACAGTTTCTGAGTCTAGCAGTTGGTAGAGGAATTAAGTAATGCAGTGTGTGTGTGTGTGTATGTGTGTGTGTGTGTGTGTAGAAATATAGAAAACTGGCAGTCATCTAGCAAGTGCTGTCCATGTCAGCTTCCACATGCATGATCTCCATCGTGGATTACTCTAGGTTCCTATCCTGAATTAAAGCTCACTTTTGGTACCACTGATGAGGGAAAAAAATAATAAAAGAAGAAGAAAAGCAATACCAAAGAGTTTATTTGCAGAGCTGTACAAAAGTGCACATTGTCCTGGGCAGGGTGTGGAGGCTGTCCCCGGGGCAGGGTGTGGAGGCTGTTCCCGGGGAAGGGTGTGGAGGCTGTCCTCCAGCTCCTGTGGGCAGCCCTCCCGAGGACAAAACAGCTGGGTCCGAACGGGCCTCAGCCTTCCACTAACAATCACAAATGTCCTTGCTTTGCAAGTGAGACCCAGCTAGCAGTGAGGAGGACTTCTCACTGTGTTCACCCAGCAGTGTGCAACAGCATCAGGGGGTTAGGAAGGGATTTGGTCTCCAGGTCTCCATCCTCCTGAGTGGGGTCAGTCTCCTGTTAGAAGGGGAGCCATCTTTGAGCGGTCAGTAGCCTCATCAGACACCCAGTGTGCTCTTGTCTTGATTTGGACTTCTCAGCCCTGAGAACTGGAAGCAATGAGTTTCTTGTTTATAAATTACCAGAGTGGCTCACGCTTGTCATCCTAGCTACTCAGGAGGCTGAGATCTGAGGATCCTGGTTCAAAGCCACCAGGGGCAGGAAAGTCTATGAGACTCTTATCTCCAATAAACCACCAGAAAACTGGAAGTGGAACTGTGGCGTACAATGGTAGAGCATTAGCCTTGAACAAAAAAGCTCAAGAACGGTGCCCAGGCCCTGAGTTCAAGCCCCATGACTGACAAGAATAAATATGTAAATATAACTAAAAACAAATAAATAAATTACCAGAGTAAGGTATTTTGTGACAGCATCCTAAATTGACTGGGACAGCTTCCTTCTTACAGTGAATCCTGGGGATTCCATTAGGGTGTCGGCCTTTAGACTGGAAAGTTGGGTCTCTCCATCAATTCAGCTCAACAGAGTCAGCACACAAGAGGGGTTTAAAAGATGAGTACAGGGTCAACCATGCAGTTACCACGGGGGCTGGCGTGGCTGAGCCCCCCTCACCCAGCGCCTCAGGTAGCGGGATTGCAAAGTCAATGGGCACCTGCTATAGGAGAGGCAAGAGCCAAGTTCCTAGAACATTCTACCGATCACCCAAAGAACAAATCCAGGAAAGAAATAACAAGCAGAAGACGTGGAGCAAATGTTTCATTGGTCATGATGATCAAAAGATGATAGTTCAAACACATACACGGAGACCTCACCCCACCTGCTGCAGGGCAGGCCTCCGGGGTTTTGTACCCCGTAGCCGGGCCCAGGCTACGGGCCTCCGCCAGGACCCTGCCCTTCACTCTGCACGTGTGCTCTAGTTCTCTTCCTCCCTCCACCTGGAACCTGCAGGCTGGACGTCCAGGCAGGGCTGAGGCCACTGGCTACAACTGTGGTGGTTGTGGTTCGAGCTGCAAAGTTCCAGATCTTCTCTCCACCTCCCTCTCCCCAACGCTCTCCTGTCCCCTCTCCCACCCAGTCATTGTTCCCCAGAAACAAATAGGATGGCTTCACTGGTCAATTCTTTACATGTACAAACACCAAAAGCAGAGGAAACGCCCCTTGGCCACCCCCCTCCCCCCCAAACCCCAGTGCTGGGCGAGCAGCCTGCAGGGAGGCTGCTCGGAACCGGAGCTGCGGGAGCTGTCCGGCTGTGCGGGAGACGTCTTCGGCCTCTGGCTTTACCTGGAGGCCTCTTCCTTCAGCTCCTTGTTCTTCCGCACCTCCTCCGCGTGCTTGTCCTGAGAAGGAAGGGGGAGACAAAGGCAGGTCACTGGAGGCTGCCCGGGGACCGAGGGAGGCCGACGGACAAGGAGAGGGTGGCCACGGCAGGAAGAGCAGAGCTGTTGGCGACCTGAGAGCGGCAGAAGGTGGCAGGTGAGACAGTGCACAGGTAAGGGACCTGCCCGAGGGGCACAGAGCACCCACAGATCTGTGAGTCTCAACCTCCTGGAGGGGACCCCAGGGCCCCAGCCTCTTTCTCCCTCTTTGGGCCAGGCTGGCGCTGGGGCTGGCCGTGTGCTTTGACTCCCGGGACCCGCTTGCTGGAAGATCCGCCCTGCTGCCCTCCTATGCTCACGTCCCCACCACCAGCACCCCCACCGCATGGCCTTGATGCTCCCCTTTTATCTCCAGTTCATCTCCTTCGGGAAGGCTGCCCTAACCCCCTGGCTCTCAAAGTGCACACTGTGACAGAACAGACTTTGGAAAAATGTTGCCCGATTTCCAAAGAGTAGACTTTCCCTGCACCCACTGAAAGAGAACCTTCATTGTTTCACACGGCTGAGCAACTTCCCTGCCTAGCCCTGGCTTCTTCAGAGAGGGGCTTTGGATGGGCCCCTCTGGCATTTCACCTATCTTTCAAGCTGGGCCAGGATGTGTCACACACTGCCCACTGGTTGGTATCAGGAAGGCCATGTCTGATCTTTGTGCTTTCCAGTTCCTACAACCATCCCCGGTACCTGACACCTCCTCAGCCAACAATCCTGTCACCACATTTGGGTCTCCTCCTAGAATAGAACCAAGGAGGCAGACCAGGCTCCCAGCATACCCTTGAACCTAAAACTCTATTCCTCCAGAGGCTCTAGAACTTTCCATGGGACTGGAAGTCGGGTGGGGTGTGCCTGGAGCAGTGGCTGCCGGGCTGTCACATGACTTGGGGAGCTCAGCTGACCCTCAGGCACCACCTCACAACAGCCAGGCAGTAGGTAGAGGGTGGGGTCCAGGAGTCTGCATTTTAAACTTTCTACCAGGTACGGGTGGTCAGGGAGCCACACAAGGACTGGCATTGCTAAGATGCCACTGTCCCAGGACATAGGTAGGAATGGGGGCAGGATGGGGGGACAAACCACATAGCTCTCACCCATGGCTTCCTCCTGGGAGAAATCAAGATGGCAGGGAAAGGAACCTGCACCAATGCCTGATCTGACAGCTCGGGTCTCAGCCTCCCGCACCTCTACAGATATTCCTTCAGGTGTGACCTTTGCACCTTCTCCACCTCAGACTTTGCCTGTGGGTTCAGGTGAGCTCTAGGGCTCTGCCTGCCCTTCCCCCCGTCCTTGACCGCCAAAGACCCCCAGACTGACAGAAGGCTAACGGGACCACGGTGAGCATCTTCCCGGGACAGGCGGAGGAAGGTGCTGGTTCCAGTCCTCCTTCATGGCCACTGTGTGATGGTAGGCATGTCATCTGACTTCAGACATGGCTTCCTCAACTGCCACCTTGCTTCTGTCAGGGACTCGTGGAGGCCCGCAGCATGGAGAGCTAAACGGGTTTGGTAGAATCTTGCAAATGCCGTCCATGGTCTAGCCTCAATCATTTGTTCTGGGTTTGATCTCTGAGCCCATCAGATTGGTTTATCTCCAAGAGTTTGCCTTCCGTCATTCCTCATTCATGGAGGAAGCTGGAAGTCAGACCCGGACTGTGTCCCTCCCAAGTGCCCCTTGCTGGAGACCCAGCTGCCTCTTGTTGACGAGGTGAGGGTCATGCTGGCCAGCGGAGGGCCGGTGCCCAGGCATGGTGAAGAAACCAGAGCTCGCTAGTGGTTGCTGCCAAGGGACCTGAGATTCTAAGCGGATGGGCAGGAGGGGAACCACGCTGCTCACCATGGGACGAGGCCACCGATCGGGTCCCGGGAGTCACCGCGCAGCAGGCGGTTCCTGGAAATAAAACACAGAGCTGGAGCTTCCCAGGAGCCGCAGGAGAGACTGGGGAGGCCTTGAGACTTGGGAGCCGAGGCCAGCAGGTCCTCCACATTCTGCTAAGATGGGGGCCGGGGGAGCACCAAGGGATTTACTGACAGAAGCCAGCCCGTAGAAAGCCCTACCCCTTGCTCAGTCTGTGTCGAGAGCGCCATGTTTCCTGCTCCATAAGCAGCTCAGCTTCTCATGCCCCCCCGGCTTAGAGCCAAGGATCTAAATCAGCATCTTTCATTAAATCCAGTCAGTCCGGTCTAGGATGAAGCCAGGAATGTGTCTGTGCTGTGTGTCTAGCTCTACTCCCTGGCATTGTCCAGGCTTTCTCTAGAAAAGGACAATGAGGAATTGCAGGTGTGTATCTATGCTGAAAATTCCCCCAAGGAAATCCAGGCTTGGTTTGTTTTTCTTGCCTATGACTTCCCAAATTGTCCCCTTGGAACTCTAAGGCTTCTTCTTGCCTGACAGAAACAAATCCCATTCCTGCACAAGGCTGATTCCTCCTGAAATGAAATGGAGGTCCATGTACACGTGCCAAGGAAGGATGACAGGTCCCCTCACTGGTCCAGGATCACTTACCTTCTCTTGCAGCCGTTCCAACATGGCAGCCAGGTGGGCCTCCCGATTCTCTTTATTGGATTCCATCTTCTGGGCCAGTTTTTCCTTAGCCATCTTGATGAAGTTGTTGTTTTCTTCGATGGCTTTTTGGATCACTTCTCGCTCGTGTTCTCGTTTCTCTGCTAGGTGCTTCAGGAGCTCAGCTTCCTGGTACTGCATGGCACAAAGATGCAAAAGGGCCCCTCATTCAGGGCAAGCCGATTGAGGTCTCCGCGGCCACCTCCTCACGGAGAACACAAGAACCTACAAGGACACTTCCCGGACCCTGCCACTACCGGCAAGCTTGCCGCATTCCTTGCCGCCCTTTTGTCAGTATCTCCAGAGCGGTTCTCCTCATTGTTCTCATTCGTTCATTTCATTCACTCACAAACACTCACTGAGCATATACCCAACACTATTCTAGCCACCTGGGAAGGTTCAAACAAAAAGTCTAGTCGAGATGTCTTTTTCTATAAATAACAAATGCAACCGGACATGTGGTGCCAGCTCACCCTTTCCCAGCGAAGGAAACCTTTCCTTAAGTCCTAAGTGGGTTTCAAGATCTTAACGCTGGTCACCATGCCTATCAGGTCACCTCTAGAAGCACGTGGCTCCTTGTCTCCTGCCAACCAGTTAACTCTCAGGGGACAGGGCCTTGTACTTTTTCTTTATTTGCAAGGGTGATGCAGGCTCTGCCCAGCATGTGGCAGGCGGATGGATGGTGACCTGACACAGGCGTGCAGGGAAGAGTGAAAGGACACCGCTGACCTTCCTTCGCTCCTCAGCTGCTTCCAGTTTCTTCTGGATCTCTTCCAGGGAGGGGTCTCGCCGCCGGGGTAGGGAGGCATTGAACTCGGGCACCCCATCGAAGGAAGGTGGTTTCAGGATGACTTCGAAGGACTGGCCTGAGGTACACTTGTTCAGCTCGATGACCTCCATGTCAGAAATGACGCACCAGTTCAGGTCCACTGTGTCTGCTGGGGAGGACAGAGTGAGGGCTGCTCACCCGCCAGGATCCCTGGGGCCCCACAAGGCATGCACATATGCACACACAGACACAGGACAGCGGGGTCCCTACGGCACAACCACCGCCAGGAGACTGGCTCTGTCCTTAACCCTGGTCTCTAAGGTCCGTGAGTCCTGATTGGGCTCAAGGAATAGCCACAGTGAGATTTGAGGTGCCCCCAGAAGCACCCCCAGATATGCAATTTCCTCAGCTGCTTTTGCTCTGCCTCGGCCATCAGCCTCCTCCGATGTTCGAGCTCTTGCTCAGTGATCCTTGCTGCCAACAGGCAGTGGGGACTCTACCCATCGCCCACCCCTGCTCCCTTCTCGTCCCGCTGGCCCTCTGGCGGTTTGGTCTCTGCACCCTGCCCCTGACTCCCTCCTACCCTGTTCTCTTCTTTCTCTCCAGTCAGCACTGCCTTTCCGCTGGCTTTGACCTTTCCTCCTACACTGTCTCCCACACCAGCCTAAACAGAAAAAACAACCTCAGGTCATCCACACCTCCCTCTCTCATTGTCAGATCAAACCCAGCCCTTCCTTTGAACCAGGAAATCGGGAGGTGACCTGCTTCCTAGCTCCCCCCACCAACCCCCACGAGGACTTGCTCCATCCCATAGACGCAAGGCTGTCATGGCCCGGGCAGGAAGTCCTCACCCACTGCCAGACTCTCAGAGCATCTCTCCCTTCCCTAGGAGACCGGCCAGCCTCCTCTCTCTTTGCCATGCTCCCTGAGGGCAGATTTGTGTTCTGTTTCTTCTTGTACCTTCCATGGCATGGATTTGTTCTAGGAATGAAGAAAGCCCACACAAGAGCAAGTGCTCTGGGGGTGAGGGTCCCTCGCGTATACCCCAGTTGCTGCCTAGTGCCCCAGGCCACATTCTGCAGCCCTGACCCCTTCAGGCTCTGGAAAAACTTGCCATGGCCAGCGGTTTCATGAAATGGAGGTCGGGCTGCTACACCCACATACACAGGACATGAGAACCTCGAGCCTCTTCCCCTCCCAACAAAGCCCTCACTGACCTTCGTATTTATAGGATGACTTGTTCAGGGGGTCTGCCAGGAAGCAGGAGCAGAACAGGGACACCAGCGGGAGCTCCTTCATCTTCTCTTTGTAGGCTGCAAAACAGAGGCAGGTGAAGACAGGAGTCAGCCCGAGTTCTGGCTCCACAGAGGCGCCAACACGCCCGGAGCCAGTGCTCATGCCAGTGATTCCCACCCACATCCATCCCTGTGGAAAGCCGAGCCTGGCAGAGCCACCGCAAGACCCCATCTTTCCCCCCTGCTAGCACCGAATGAATGCAAAGGGGCCTTGCATACAGACCCCAGGCCCTACTGCCCCCACGACCTTGCTGTCTGCCACCCCCTCCCAATCCAGGATGTCCAGCTCTTTGGCTCTAGGATGCCTTGTGCTGAATGTTCCTGGTCGGGCTGCTGAGGGTCACGGAGCTGACTGGCAGGCATGGGGCAAACCTTACCACCACCCCTCTGCCTTGTACCCTCGCTGGGAATGAGTGAGGCTGTGAACCTTCCTAGACCTTCCCAGCATAGGGTCAAAGCCAGGTGTCCAGTGCCCATGACAGCAGGAGTGTATCCCCTAAACTGTTGAGTCTCTCTGGGTCTTGAGATCACAGGTCAGAGCTGGCCTATCAGGGTGGTTCCTCATTTGATAGACAGACACAGATAGATAGATAGATAGATAGATAGATAGATAGATAGATAGATAGATAGATAGATAGATAGATAGATAGATAGATAGATATGGGAGCAAAAGGAAGAAAAGCTCAGCTATGATCCTACCCGCCACCCTGTCTGTACCCCTCCCTGGGCACACTTCTTGTGTGTCCTTTGTCTCTGCATGTCCATCCATGCACCGTACTTGGGAAATAGCATGACCATGTGGCAGATGTACCTACCTGCGAGGGTCATGTTTGCTGAGATCTGGTGTCTGAATCTAACTGAAGATCGCAAGAGATGTCTACCGCCAGCTCACGGCACTGGGCCAAGTCTAAGAGAAAGAGAATTATTTTACCTCTGACAGGTTATTCTCTTCAGGTGGGTTTTTATGCAACTTGCAGCGGAATTCTCAGGGATGCTGTACCTGCTCTGGCCTCCAGGCTCTCTCCCCTACAGCTCCATTTCTTTGAGATAACCACCACCTTCCACACAAGCCCCACGAAGCTCAGCACTAGTGTTTATTTCATCATGGGCTTTCCTGCCTTCAAAGCCTGGGACAGCACAGTGGCCCCCATCAAGCTTAGAGTGAGGGTAAGAGGCAAGCCCTTTGCAGGACTCTCCTGCAGGTGTTTGCAATTAACTATGGGCCTGAAACCCCATCCCCCACCCCTCCCCACTCCCCTACCACCTGATACACTGCAGACCTCCCTTCAGCAAGTCTGGCATGGGATGAGGGGAAGTTAAACAAGGGGAAAGCACTCTGGTAGGCCAGGTCCCCACTGGCTGGAGGTTGCTAGGGAGAGAGGTTCCAGCTCTGGCGTGGGGGTGGAGTCCTCTGCAGACTCATCTCTAGCTGCCACAAGTCATTTCACACGGCCCAGCTTTGCTTTCCCCATCTTAATTAAGCCCAACATCAGGACACAGGAAATGCTTAATTCATGTGAGCTTCCTTCTCCCTGCCCTTTGCTTTAGGATGGTGCTCACCAGCCCTGGAGTAAGGGTGATTGCATTTGCAGACAACGGGACTGAGGCTTCCAGGGTATTTGTGACCAGAGAGTAAGAAAGCAAGGATATGAACCAAGTGGCCCCTAAATGACTCTATTCTCCTTGTTTTCCTGGTCATGCTCTGAGCCCCAACCCAGATCCTCCTGTGGGAGTACAATGGGCCTTGTCTCCGTGGTGTCAGGCTGGTCCTGATGGTACCAGCAAGTCCCCGCCAAGGGAGGCAGACGGGGCCTGGACACCAAGTCCCCTTCATGAGAGTATACTTGGGTCAGGAGGATTGAAAGGCCAGTGGGTGGAGGGGGGAAGCCCATGCCAGGACAGGAGAAGCTCTGGGGAACCCAGGTAGGTGACAGAGCAAGTTTGGGAATGCAGAGATGGTTAGAACATCAGAAAAGGGAGACAAGGGCAGGAAGCAGGAGGCATGGCCAAGGTGGTAGGGTATGCATGAGCCAGGAATGCCCCCATTTTCTGTCCAATGAGGCTCTCGGTGGCATTGCTGGGTCCTTCAGTACAGCAGGTGGGATAACATGCACTCATAGTCTAACCCTTACAACTTACGGATGTGAACGTGGCTTTATTTGGGGAAAGGATCTTTGCAAGTTTAATTAAGGACCTCAACTTGAGCTCCTCCCTGATTATCCAAAAGGGACTTAAATTGCATGACAAGTCTTTCTTAGTGACACACACACACACACACACACACACACACACACACACACACAGGGAAAAGGAGACAGGCATATGGGAGATGTTGTCGGAGAATGGAGTGCCCAAGGATACTGGAAATGGGAGGAGGCAGGGAAGGATCCCCCCCAAGGGTTTAAACAAATATGGCCCATTGACACCTTGATTTTTTTGACTTGTGGCCACCTGCTTTGTGACAAGGTATTTGGCAGAAAAACAATGCACTCCATAAGTGATAAAAATCCAGGATCCAAATTCATGGCGTTTCCACACATATCCCCCAACACCATGATCTGAGTTTTCTTCAAGGTAATTTGCATAACAAGGCCGTATGCACAGGGGACCCCTAAAATGTCTTACAGAACCAGTCAGGCATTTCTATTGCACTCACAACCAATGGAACAGAGAAACGGCACAGGAGATACATGGTAGAGTGCAGCAAAGCATTCTGGGCCCTTAAGCCATTGTGGGTGGAGCCATGTCTGGGAACCTGACTCTACTCCTAATTCACCTACAGTCCCAGCATTTGGTGGGAGCAAGCACACGGCCTCTGCTAAGTTACCTTGTGGAGGCTGGTGAGTGGAGGCCATGATCCTGTTGTCATGCCACAGCAACACACAACCTGCAACTGAGTGGAGACCATTGGGCCCAGCCTGGTCCAACATCTAAGAGTCTGTAACCACACTTTCTCACTGATAGATTGAACTAGCATAATTGATAAAGTAACATCATGAGCGATAACCCCACCAAGCACAGAGCCAATGGAGAAAAGTAAGCTCAGATTGGAAGCAGTCATGGTTCATGGTAAATATGTAAAGCCAAGGCTGCTAACTGAAGATACAGCCCATGGCAGGATGCGGAGAAGGAAAAAGATGGCTAAAGCAAAGAAATTGAGCATCCGTTTCTCTAGAACAACACCATGTCAGAGAAGAAAACAGGCAATCATAAGCAAGCCATTGGCTCTCCATGAGGAAAAGTCTCTTTCCTGGGAAATGGATTGGGCTTGTGGATCACCACTAGACAGCAAGCCACAGGCGCCGGACAGGCCAAGTGCCCTACGGCCTCCTCCGCCCTCTGCTATCATGAATAGTTATTTTTTCCTGGATGCTAATATACTCCTCACTAGGGACCAGAGACCTTGAGAACATGCAGTGTGTTGTTAGCAGAGAAAGGGCCAGAACCTCTGACTCCAGGTTCCAGTGGTGGTGCTTTTGTTCTTATTCAGTACTCTTCTCCCTGCCCCTAGAAACAGCTTAGATAGGAGACAGCCCATGTGGGGGATCCTTAGAGAAGCTTCCAGGAACACTCTACAGGGACCCCCTGACAGCCAGAATCAGGACCTGCTCCCAAGGCTTTTCTACCATGCAGTTAGTGGCAGGGCAGAGAGAGGCCACACCACGCTCTTGTCCCTGGTGGCCCACCAGGCAGAGTGAGTGCGAGTTTCTTCGTTGCCTTGAGACACTCCCAGGTACCTCTCTCGAAATGTGTCAGATTTCGAGTGGACTATTTCTGAGAGATGAGCAGTGAATGCGTGTGCAGCGGCTTGAATAGAGTTGTCCCTGGCAAGCATTCTAGAAGACAAATATAGGAACTCTGGCACAGAATCAGGATGGGTACCTCAGGGGTGTGGGAGTGATGAATTCTGAGCCAGGTCCTCTCTTCACAGCTCTACAGCAAGGCAGCTCTTTGGGCTTTGCACTATCATCACTCTTCCTAAGAGTCCAGGTCAAACTTTGTGTTTACCTAAAATTAGCTACCTAAGAGACTGACCTCAGTGTCACATTTCTCCACTTTGGGTGGGAGCCACGTCGTCTCAGAACAGAAGCCCTACTTATTCCGTGCCAATCAGAGACTCTCACTGGCAACTTATGTCTTATTTGAGTTTCAAATTAAAAGAAGATGAATTATTTGTTCATGTGTGTGGATCTTTGTTGTTGTTGTTGCTTGTGGGGCTTGAACTCAGGACCTAAGCACTGTCCCACTGAGTTCTTTTGCTCAAGGTTAGCACTCTACCACTTTGAGAGGTCCCACTACCAATTTTTGAATGGTTACTCCAATTAAGATTCTCACAGAGCCTGGCACTGGTGGCTTATGCCTGTAATCCTAGCTACTTAGGAGGCTGAGATCTGACGATCACGGTTCAAAGCCAGCCTGGGAAGGAAAGTCTTAGACACTCTTATTGCCAATTAACTATCAGAAAACCAGAAGTGGTGCTGTGGCTCAAGTGGTAGAGCGCTCACCTTGAGCTCATAAGCTCAGGGACAGCGCCCAGGCCCTATGACCGACCCCCCCCCCAAAAAAGAGTCTCATGGAGACTTTTCTGCCCCAGCTGGCTTCCAACTGTGATACTCAGATCTCAGCCTCCTGAGTAGCTAAGATTCCAGGTGTCAGCCCCTGGTGCCTGACTGGATCAATCTCTTTATAATATGTGTTCACTTATTTATCAGTGGCACTAGGTTTGGACTCGGATCTTTGTGCTTGCCAGGCAGGTATTGTACCACTTGAGCCATACCTCCAGCTCTTTTTGCTTTAGTTGTTTCTCAGATAGAATCCCATGTGTTTCTCCATGGCCAGCCTTGGACAATGATCCTTCTACCTAGGTCTCCTTAGTAGTGGGTAGCTCAAGTGTGTGTCACCACCGTTATTTTTTGAGACAGGGGTCTCATTAACTCTTTGTGCTGGCCTTGGACTTTGATTCTCCTCATCTCCACCTACCAGACTGCTGAGATTATAGGCATGAGTCACCATCACCAGACCACACAATAGTTACTGAGTATTGAGTGCTATGCCAAGCTCTGTTAGTCCTAGAATATGTGGGGTGAGCGTGGCTCGAGGGGGATGGAGAGCTGTGCAGCCTTGGAGAGGCAAGGGCAAAAAGCCTTTGCTGGGGTCCACAGTGTCTTCCAAGGAGAAGTGTGGGACTGAGCTGAGAACACAAATCAAATAAAAGCTAATATATACACAAAGGGGGACTTGGCAGAAAGAGCACCATGTGGTGGATGTAGTTGAACACTAAGTTGAGTTGCCTATTAGATTTGAACCCAGGGGCTTCAAGCGGGAGATGGGGTAGGACCAAGGTCTGCCAGGCTTAGGAATGCAGCTCCAACTCTGCTTCTAGAAACAAGAACCCTGGAGGCCTAGATGTTGGAGACCACAAAGCTCTGATGGCTACACTGAGAGGAAAGACAGAGAGGGAAAGTCATGGCTGGGAAATTGACCACAAGTAACCCAAAGGGGTGGGACTTCCTGGACTATTTTTATTTCCAGTTCAATACACACAGATGCATTGTGATGCCAGAAGTTACATTTAAGGGAGGGAAACTTCCACTGAGTTTTGATTCTGGGAGAGTTGGGTGGGTGTCAGCTCCTGATGAGGTCCTGTGGCCAAGAGTACACAAGCATCAACACATGGTGCAAATCTTTAGGATCTCACACCTCACAAAAGACTATTCTATGGCACATCCAGTTTATGCATATGCATCTTATACCTGAGACTTCAGTAGAACATGTTAACATCATGTCAGGAAATACCTGTGTGACAGAGAAAGGAAATCTATCTGTCTAGTGCCTTCATGTGCTCAGCATTTCCTT